TTTAATTTATTATTACTTTATTGATAGCGCATATTTATGTATTTTATGACACAATAATATTTTTATATGCCTAAATTATGTTACGTATTATTAATAATTCCTTTATTTACATACATACGTATATTTAACTTTTTTTTAATTACATATTTATAATATATTCCTTTTAATCGCACCTGACAACTGTAAATTGTGCGCTAAATTATTTTAGCAAATATAAAAGGTAATTTTATCAATAAAAAATATTGAAAAATATAACAACAACAATAATAATAAATAGTCGCAAACTTACATACATACATATAAACTAATAGAAATATTTAAGCTATTTATACATAGTAAATATTCATATGTACATGTACAGACATGCTCCATAAGCAATTATGCATAACAATAATAATGTAAAAGTCAATTGTGCTTAACAATTTGTGAAAGGACCTCTTAACGGCGCACTCGTTAACTTTTCTAAATAACCTAGACATTTTTCTACAAACGTATGTGTGTGTATTTAATAGCTTATAGCTCGCTTGTGCTTTTTACAAAAATTGTCAGCGTATAAAAAATAGCTTAACAAAAGTAACAAATACTAAATAACTGTAAACAACATTAAATTTGGCGCTAAAAATGCAAAAACTTTGCCAAAAATGACTGCCACGTTTATACTATTTCAAACGATTTTTCGTCTTATCTCTGTGTAAACGTCTAATTATAATCATAGAAACTAAAATAGAGTTACCATATCAATGCTTTTGCTAAATATTTTCATTATTAAAAATTACATTCTTTGAAAACTGTTAAAAAATCACTCGAAAGGTGCTGAAAGGCGCTGCAAGCAATGGATTTAAAGCTGAGAGTTAAGTGGGGATTAGAGTAAATTCGTGTTCAAAAACTGTTAAAATCTATCTACATATCTATCTACCATGTTTCTAATGGTTTGGTGGGGTACTGTAGATTACTCTTCTAAAAGTTTCATAAGACAGATTCGTAACTTCCTGAATTTTGCTGGGATCAAGTTGGAATTTACACACAACCAGGGTTGTCAATACATAAATTACTTTTTGTTTATTCTTTAAATCCAAATATGTGATTAAAAAAACAAAACATTTTAATCCCAAACATATATTAAAATTAAATAAAATTTGAATTGACATTTTTGCATTTTCATGGTTTTTCATTTCAAATTAAAAAATAAAATTTTTAATTTTTAATCTCAAACGTATTAAAAATAAAAATTCTAATTTTAATTAAATCTAATTTTAATTTGACAATCTATTTTTTAATTCCCAACATCGGAAATAAAAAATAAAAAAAAAATGTTTATGGGATTATATATGTATGTACAGTTGGAATGCCGAGAAAACCTTTCCAAAAATTTGTACACATATTATGGTATCTTTTAACTGTATTTTAAGACTTGGTATTAGTAAAAAATATTTATTAGAAAAGGAACTACCGCTGATATTCGGGAGCCCCTTGCAAAAAAGATGTTTTGCGAAGACCACTACACCTCTCAACTGGATCCTCTGAAATTAAAAAACCAAACACATTTCGTTACAGTAATGTTAACTCTAGTGAAGCAAATCAAAGAAATAAGCATAATAATATTTTTTGACAAAATGGCGGTTACTCAAAGCAAAAATCCATTTTGACCCAAATTTCGACTTTAATTTGTTAAAAAAAAATTTCGTTAAATTAAATACTAAAAAATATGCAAGTGATTTTTTGAAAATTCTAACTGTACATATGTATTTTATTTTTAAAACGAAATTTTTAATTAAAAAACTTTCAACCCTGGACACAAATTCTTGAGATATGAACATTCGAAAAAAAATTCGATTATTATTTTTTAAAACATTTTATTTTTTCATTTCTTAATATTTTGATAATTTGAAACTTTCGAAAATTCGCTAATTAAACGCACAAGTGTTAATTTTTTATTATTGTAGCAGCTGGAAAATATTTTAATTTCTATAAATCAAGTGGTTGATGGAGGCAAAATCCTTAAATTAAAAGTTTTAATGTTTA